AGAAACCTCGCCGATGATTATTCCCCTGCTGCCTCCCCATCTCCGCATCGCCGTTCCTTCTCAATATCTCTCCACCGCTATTGGAATCGGTCATCGCTCCACAATCGAAACCACCAAGGCCATCCCTATCACCACCATTAGATAAAATTCAGCCCCCAACCCTAATAATCTAAATCCTCCACCCAAATTCTACCGCTCGCCTTGTCGGGAACTTCCCCTCTCTGCCGTCCTCCTCTGTTTCTCATCGCAGTCACCGCTGTCCCAAACAATCATAGCCACCGTCGAAGTCTCAACCATCCCAACCCCAATAAGTGATTCCCATCGCCATTGAATGACTTGGGTGCATCTGTATTTTCTGGGTTCTTGTGGATCTGAAGTTTATGGGTTTCTTCGAAAGAGGCAAAGAGAAAGAAGTGGGCGTTGGGGAGAGGTGGTGATGGGGGTGGGGTTTTTTATAGATTGCGGGCGAACAACCCAATTTCGAAGGTGCGATTGGGCATCAACGACATCCCCCTCGGCCCCGATCTGCAATGGTTCCCCCTTAGATGGCCACCCAAACTCTGCAATCGCCGGAAGCAAAGGTCTAGCAAGGCCATCTTCACCTTCAACCCCCACTCACCCTACCGCTCATCCTCTTCTCCAGCCGGGGCAAGCTCTCTGAGTTTTTCTCCTCTGGGTACGTATATGTGCCTTTTACTTCCTCTCTTTGTCCTTGGGAAAAAAGTGGGGAATGGTGATTGATGAGATGAGAGGGAGAGAGGAATGGTGATTGAAGTGTAGAATTGGATCCCTGGACGGAGAAACACATTACTCAGGGGGTGTGGCGATTAAATTGCCGGTGGAGGGGATCAGCGGAATTAATAGACGGTGGAGATGTCCTTTAACTTTTTTCTTTATTGTATTTTTAATTTAGTTTGTATTAAAAATTATGTGGAAATGACGTGGCATTTAAGTGGATGCCACATTTTTTGCCACGTCACTAAAAGTCAAAATTACTTTGACCACCGTCTGGTCAATCGTTATATTTAACGGTCAACAAAAGTGACGGGACAAAAATGATACAAAAGTTCATACGATGGGATACAAATGGAATATTGAAAAGAATAGGACACAAGTGGCATTTTGCTCATAGTTCGGGTGTTGTAGTGGTATTAGCCTTTAATATAAAAAAAACTGCAACGTCATCTAAACTGTCGCTAAAAGAACTTCAAAATGGTCGCTAAAGAAGCCAATTCCAAGATTGGTGATTATAATCTGGTTGCAAATACTATAGTCATTGTAAACAAACTCAGAGCCTAATATTCAATAGCAACCAAATTCATAACATACAACGATATCCACCAATACATAATCTGTATCATGATTCATGATCCATACTATTGTTCACATGGCCAACATGAATACCATAAACATTAAAAGGTAACAGCCTCAAATTCATATGCTCCCGATTGATCAGAATGGAGCGAACAACCTCAAATTCATGCTTTAGCTAGGACAACAACTACAAAAGTCTTATCATTATCCCTGATTGGATCTCAGTCGACATAGGAGTGGTGAGTAACGCATCTGATAGAATATCTTGCTCGACTTCTGGCTCGAACGGACGAGCAACACTCATAGCGGAGTTGGTCTTGGCCATAGACCTCCACATATTAGTAGTCGTAGGCATAAAACGGAGACCCAAGATGATGGTTGGATCGACTGACTTCATAGTTCAGGAGCGGACGAGAGCATCACTTTGTAGCTACTTGAAACATTAAATTGATTGGTAGAATAAGCTAATTCAAATTATTAAAGTAGTTCAAAAATTTAAAATGATCAATATCATAGTATTTTTGTCATTGTAACTGACTCATCGACTAAAATTATTTTACAAAAAATGAAAGAAAAACCCGAACCAACTCCTAAAGACATTTTAAACTCATCATTCTATTTACACTACAAAAAAGATGAGGTTTGGGGACGACAAAAGTCGTCCCCGGAAATAGGAAAAATCGTCCCTATAGTTGTTGGGGACGACTAAGTCGTCCCCAAAGAGTGGTTCCCTATACTCTTGTCCTCTATTCTTTTGGGGACGACAAAAATCTAGGTCGTCCCCATTACTAGGGACGACAGTCGTCCCCGATACTCGCAAGTCGTCGTCTCGTTTCTTGTCCATGAAAGACAAAATGTCGTCCCCACAACTATAACTGTAGCGACAACATGTCGTCCCCATAGCTATAACTTTAGCGACAATAAGTTGTCCCCTAAACATCATTTCTAGGGACAACTTGTTGTCCCACATAAGCGATTTCATAATTGCGCTGGGACAATATGGGGATAATTTGTTGTCCCCTTTTCTTTTTATAGGGTCGACATGTCGTTCCTATAGGTATCAAACTGGAGTCCAAAATTCGTCCCCGAAAGCTTTATTCAAGGACTGAGAGTGGTCCCCTATACTATATCTTTAGAGACGACAAGTTGTCACCTATTACTTTTAAGGACAAACAATTGTCCCTTAAGTTCTGTATTAGGGGACGAGGAGTTGTCACTTATGTACCTTTTGGGAACGACTAATTGTTCCCTATGTAACTCGTATGAACGACATATTGTCTCTTAGCATGTGTCTTTGGAGACGACTAATTGTCCCATGTATCACTTGTAGGGACGATCAGTTGTCCCTTAAGCTGTATTATTGGGGACGCCTAATTGTCACCTATTCATTGGTAGGGACAACCAATCATCCCTTAAGAAGTGTCTTTATGGGCGTCAATTTGTCACGTATTTAACTTATAGGGACGACTTATTGTCCTTAACTGTTATAGTTGGGGACAACTCATTGTCTCTCATATACCATTTTGGGACGACCTGTTGTCCCTTAAGTGGTAGTATAAGAGACACTAAAATGTCATCTACGTAAATTCTAGGGACAACTAGGTGTCACTTAAATGGTGTCTTGGGGAATGAAAGGTTGTCACATTTGAAATTTATGGGGACGATCATGTGTCCCGTCACCAATATCTTAGGTGGCGACAAGTTGTCGCCTATATTAATTTTATAGCAAAATATCATAAAATCATCGCCATAAAAGCTAAAAAAACTACTAAAATGTCATCTCATCCAAGACTAGGAAAACCAACATTCATAGTTTGAAAGAATAAGCATTCTCTAATGAAACAAGAAAAAACTAAAAAAATATTGGATAACAAGTTCTAAATCCATGATTTGTTCTACTATCTCTTAACAAACAAAAAAAAATAAAGACTAACACTTATAACTCTGCATACGGCACCATGTTTCCACCAACAACCATCATTCTTCTCTTAGCTCCCTGGAAGTGAAATTAGACAAATTTTAACAATTAAATATATGGCAAGGAGCCAAGGACATCAATTGCATGAAATGGAAGAAAAGACTAAGATTAGGAAAAGAAATGCATTGGCCCATCTTAGAAAAGAAAAGCTATAAAATCCATAACTATTTAAGGCTCTTGAGTACCTATTTTTCCTTTTTGAATTCGAAACCTGCTTGTGTGGTGCACTTCGTTTCTTATTCGCACGATTAGCCTGTATAACGAATTTGAACGAGAATGTTAGTAATTTAAATATATTTAATCTTCAACCTTATTATTAAATTTTATACCTTACTAGAACATTCATCCCTTGTATATTCTTCTCCACGTGTGTCTTCCGAAGTGAGAGCATCCTCCCTCTAATTTTATGAGTGTGTTAGTCTGATTGTGATTTTGTAAATGTATTGAAAAAATTCACGTAAGTAATAAGATAGAAAATTGACTACTTACTTGCCCACTGCGAGAAGATGATTCATGCCTTTCATTTTCCATCATTTCCATCAATTTTTCGAACCTTTGGGTTAAGGATAGATTTTGTTTGCCTTGATCTGCTAATTTTGCAGTTAGGTCAACAACTTGAGCCTCCAGTTTTTCTATCTTCCAATTCTGATTGTTTGTCATACCCTTTGCAGTTGACTTGTACCCAGTTCCTTTTCCACGAACATAGCCAGAACGAGCACCAAACACCACTCTCAAGACATCTTCATTATCATTAACATTCTCGTCCACAGGCATGACTTCTTCTGTTCTTCTTATCTCATGCTAAAATGAGTTAAAAAGTAGTACCATGTTAGTTCAAGTATAGTTGGAAAGAAAATCAAGAGATTAACTGGAACAAAAAAAAAACTTACATAATAATTCTCTGATGAACAATCAACCCACTTTCGCTCATTATTTGCATTCAAAGTACTATGTTGTGCCATCCAAACTTCTGAGGCAGGTGGTAGTTTTCCAGTTTCTTCGTCAATCTAATATCAACCCACTTTAGTCTATAAGAAGTGACAAAGACATGATATGGCATCCATCAAAATCGAAAATCACATTTACCATATCATATTCTGTTTGTGCGAATGGTGTTGGTCCAGTACAGGCAATGACCTTCTGATTTGAGCGATTGTTAGCATTTTTCAAGCTAAGAGCCTGCACATAAAGAGTTTAAATGTAACACATATTTTGTTGCTAAAATTCACATTAATAACAAGAATACTACCTTAAATTCTGGTGATGCAAAAAGTTGCAACATTTGTAGCCAATCTTCTGCAGATAATCCTTCAGGGATATGTTGCATCCGCACTTCATCTGTTTCATACTTCTTGTACTTCTCATGCAATCTTGACCTATATTTCCTGTAGCTAGCTCTCATTTCATTGAAACAATGCTCTCTAAATTTATATTTCTTCACTTCAAACGGCTCTGGAGGAGGAGTGTTGTTCAAGTCCTCAATTTTCTTCAATTTAGGGGGACTATCCGGACTCACTTGAAAGTAATCCTAGTAATAAGAATGCTCAAATTAATATGGAAATTTTCTTGTTGAAAAACATCACATGAAATAGAAACTATAGCTTCTTACCGTTGCCATACTCCATAACTGGTCACTATACTGTGGAAGTATAGTCAGGGGATACTTATACAGCAAGTTCAGCACCTTGAATTCTGGTGTTGCAAAATGTCGAAGCATTTGTTGCCAATCTTCTGCTGATAGTCCTTTCGGTATATGCAGCATCCGCTCTTTATCTGTTTTGTATTTCTTATACGTTTCATATAGTTTCGACTTCAACTTTCTGTTCATTAAATTTGCACACTCTTTTCGTTCATCATTAACCATTTCTACAAAACCAAATTGGCATATCAGCATGGAACAACTTATAGCAGCATATCAATAAAACAAACACTGGAAATACAGCAAACTGAGGATATTGTCATAGTTTGGATCTAGGGTGATCGGAATCTTATTATATTAGAATCAAAGAAAAATCCTCCCTGGGAACTATAGAACCCGACATCAGCTATGACATGACTTCAAAATCACTTAGGCCATTTTTGGAAGTCCGAAAGAAAAGAGAAGCAGGGCAGCAGTAGGCATTCTTCAAATTGACGAGACCAGATCAATCGGCAGAGATTAGCTTACCAGCAATAAAGTTTGGTGCGGTCGATCGTCAGCTTTGGGGAAGGATAGGGCAAGAATAATTGCTTGAAAGAAACTCGCGAGGAATGAACCCAGTTCTTTGATAAATCGAGCCTATAAGGATTTTAAGAGATCAGTCGTCTGGGTAGGGATTTGTGTCAATCAAGGAAAGGAAATCAGTTTGAGAATCGTGGCTAAGGCAATCGACAATAAAGCCTGTCAATTTTTGGCGCCAGACTCAAATCACAAGACCGCCAAAAACTAGAGATAGGAGGGAAGTTTTTCTTTCCTTGGTGTTTTTTAGAGTGGCGGAAGATAATGGGGAATTAGAAGGAAACCTTTTCTAAATCAAGTAAATGAGGGACGGCAATTTTAGGTGAATAATCAGCCTCAACAATAAAAGTGAATATAGATGGATTAATTATAATTGAAAAATAATAGGCATTAGTATTATAAGAAGAAATCGTCCACAACAAAAACCAAAATACTAAAAATGTTACATAAAATATCAATCATCATTATCTTCATCGTCGTTGTTAGCCAAAATGTCATATTCGTATTCATTCTCAAAATTCTCCTCCTCGACTTCTTGAGCAACATTATTGGTTCGTTGAATTTGTTGAATCACTTCTGGCGGTACTGGTTCTGCAGGAACATCATCTCTCTGGAGTGCAATTTCGTCATCACCATCCAATGGTCTTGTTGCACGCCCCTCATTCGTTGTTTCCTCCTCTTGAAATGCATCCTCTTCTTCATAGTCGTCACCTTCCTCTTCTGATTCAACATCATGGGTGGTCACCACTGGTATCTGGTACAAGTCACGAGGTTGTACTTTCATCACGACTAACCAATTCGAATCTCGATGATCTTCAATGTAGAAAACTTGTTCTGCTTGACATGCTAGGATAAATGGTTCATCTGTTTTCAAGCGACGATCTGCCCGAACGCTCATGATTGAGTACTCGTCTACAGTGTACCCACTTTTACGCGAAACATCGAACCATTCACACTTAAATAAGTGAATCTTCCTTCTCCCGATGTACTCCAACTCCCACACCTCCTCAAGAATTCCATAATACTCCTTTTGGGGAGAGCTATCATCGCCTCTTGAGAGTACCCCACTATTTTGACTTTTTCTTGATTGCTCTCTAGTTAACGTGTGAAATCTGTAGCCGTTAACAATATAACCGGTATACTTTTTGTATCGCATGATAGGTCCTGAAGCTAAATCATGTAAATCTCTAGAAACATGGACATGACCTTGTTGTTTCAAACGAGTCACCTAAAAATTCAAAAAATTAAACTATATATTAAGATTCACCAATAAACATTTACTGAGGAAAAAAGTGTTATTATACTTACATGATCTCGAAGCCACGTAGGGAAGTCAGAATTATAGCGCTTTATCACATCAGAGTGTTTCATTGGAGGTAGACTAGCTTTGAACTCCCTGCAAAATACAATTTGGTTACGACTCATAATATAAGCATACCAAGAGCATAGAGAAAAAACTTCAATTTATAAGCACTTACTCTATAAAAGGCCACACTTCTTTGCAATTATTTAAGACATATAAGTGAGCCTTTCGTCTCCATTCAGGATCCAACGTCTCGGTGACTTCTTTCCCCAATGGACGACCCACATCATCAAATATATCCATTTCCTGATTTCTACTAGAACTTTCGTTGTCGTCATTGTTTCTTCGAGGCCTGTTAAACTTGGTGTCAACCCCATCAATATATCTTGAACAAAATGTCAAACACTCATCACCTATATATGCTTCTGCTATAGAAGCCTCCGGATGTGCTTTATTACGAACATACGACTTAAGGGTGCGCAGGAACCGTTCCACTGGGTACATCCACCTTGTTTGAACTGGTCCAGCAATCTTAGCCTCCATAGGCAAGTGAATGCACAAATGTACCATGACATCAAAGAATGAAGGAGGGAATATCATCTCTAGTTTGCATAGTGTCATCACGATTCGGGTTTGGAGGTCATCTAGATCACCAGCTTGTAGAGTCTTGCAGCACAATTCTCTAAAGAATGCACTTAACTCAATCAATGGCTCGCAAACTTCCTTTGGTAGAAGCCTCCTAATTGCTAAGGGGAGAAGTCGCTGCATAAACACGTGGCAATCGTGACTCTTCATGCCAGAGATTTTTCTCTCCTTGATGTTGACACATCTAGAAATTTTTGACAAAAATCCATCGGGAGTCTTTATGTTTGTCACCATCCTGCACAACACTTCCTTCTCTTCCTTCGATAGCGTATAAAGTGCAATCGGGAGACGAGTTCTGCCTCCAACCTCCACTGGATGTAGTTTTTCTCGAATTCCCAGTTGTACCAAGTCCAATCTACTTTTGTAAGAATCTTTTGACTTTCCCTTGATATCCATTATGGTCCCTAGCACATTATCGCACACATTTTTCTCAATGTGCATGACGTCAAGGTTGTGGCGGATAAGGAGATTCTTCCAATAAGGCAGCTCAAAAAATATGCTTTTTTTCCTCAAATTTTCCCAACTATTAGTAGCATCATAGTTGACTGGATTTTCTTTCCTCCCAAAAGGTACTTGCGTGAAAGAGCAGCATTTCATAAGCACCTCATCTCCTGATAATGGATTTGGTTTTGCCCTGACCTCTCTTTCCCCATTGAATGCTGCAACATTCTTTCGCCATTTGTGATTAGGTGCCAACCACCTCCGGTGAGCCATGTAGCACAACTTATTCGACCCTTTCAAATACAACGCGCTAGTGTCAGCATGACATGAAGGACAAGCCTTATAACCTTTCGTAGACCATCCCGAGAAATCAGCATAAGCTGTAAAGTCACTAATAGTCCATAGAATCGAAGCACGCAACTGAAAGTTTTTCTTGGAATGTGCATCGTACGTGTTAACTCCATCTTCCCATAAGTCCTTCAAATCCTTGATCATAGGTTGCAAGAATACATCGATACCCATACCCGGGCTATGAGGACCAGGTATTATCATTGACATGATAAAATATGGTTGTTTCATGCACAACCAAGGAGGCAGGTTATAGGGAATAAGAACCACTGGCCATATACTATGTTGGGAGCTCATGTTGCCAAAAGGTTGGAAGCCATCAGTTGCTGCACCCAGTCTAACGTTTCTAGGATCAGATGCAAAAGATGGGTATGTCTCATCAAATGACTTCCACGCAGGAGTATCAGCGGGATGTCGCATTATACCATCATCACTTCTGCCCTCCTTATGCCACCTCATCTCAGAAGCTGTTTTACTTGACATAAACAACCTCTGCAACCTAGGCTTCAATGGAAAATATCGTAATACCTTGTGTGGTTTTCCCTTCCCCTTGCTGTCTATAGATGCATATCTAGGCAATTTACAAACTGGGCACGATGTTGCATCTTTATGAGGACCCCAGTATAATGTGCAGCTCTTCTCGCAGACATCGTACTTCTCATAACCAAGGCCTAATTCAGAAATATACTTACGAGCACTACTGAACGACTCGGGCAAATTAACCTTGCCATCAGGAATTAAGACCCTCAAAATGTCAAGTAAGTCGTCGAATGACTTGTTAGTCCACTTGTGAATACTTTTAAGATGAAGCAATTTCACAATTGTCGATAGTTTAGTGTACTCACAGTTCGGATACAATTTTTCCTTAGCCTCTTGGAGCAAGCGATAGAAGGCAGCAGCATCTTGATTAGGTTCTTCTGCAACCTCCTCTGTGTCCATACCAAAATCTTCTTCTTCACCTCTCCTGCCATAAATGTCATTTAACAATCCATCCATATCATCAAGAGTATCTTCAAGCATATGGTCTTCATTCAGTTCTTGGGTACTTGTCGAGTCCTGAGTATTACCCGCACCTTCTCCATGGAAGTTCCAAGTTGAATAATTCTCCAAAATCCCATTTTTTAGTAGATGATATTGAACCTCGGAACGACCTTTATATACAGCATTTCTGCACTTTGTACAAGGACAACGAATGGCTTCTTTGTTGGCTGAATGAGAAAACGCGTAATCAATGAAGTTATTTACGCCGTCCACGAATCCCGGTTCTCTCCTGTTCCGTATGCTCATCCATTCTTTGTTTGGAATCATTTTCTATAAAAGATATATAAACTATGAATTATGTCACAAAAATATATATAGATTAGATAATGAAAGAAACAGTAAAAAAATATTAATTGTGCGTACAGTTCTAGAATATGAGTAATTGAACTAAGCATTATACTAACAAAAAAAAAATTAATTCAACTAAGCTTTGGTGCGTGCAAATCACAGGGAAGGGGCTGAACTTTTTCATTAGTGTAACGGATTGGGGAAGGGTTGATTTATTAGCAGTAATTAGGTTAAGCAATTTAGCGGAAAGTAAGCTAGAAAAAAAATAATTTCGCCAAGCAACCATGATTGTCAGTAAAAGTAAAAAAGAAACAAGAAGCATGAATGAATGAGGCTTTCAAAATCTCTAATTACAAGAAAATAGTTTACCGACAGTTGTAAAATATCCTGATGGTGTTGTGCTACAGCCTGCAGATTCCTTTATTTGAGCTTCTTCCTTTGCTAGTTTCAAGATTTCTTGTATGAAAGTAAGTAGTAGAATCTGATGTTTAACGAAACCAAAACTCACATATTTATAATGTAGCAATAACAATCTAATTAGGAAAAGGAACATGATAAAGTACTAATTCAAAAATAAAAAGGATGCCAACAGCCATCACTTTAACAATTACACGTTCCAAGATTAAAAAGAAAAACTAAATGGAAAAGGACATGGGCCTCCAAAATTGAGAAGGAAAAGGTTAAACTTTAGTAGAGAGAAAATTTGAGAAGGAAAGGGAATTCAGTTAAACGTAAAGAAGGAAAAGGGCCTCCTACTTTTGGGGACCACAAAAAATCTCACATAATCCGCTAGAGAGAATAATTCTGCCCCACCTAATTTAATATTTTCGTTGGAGTTTTTTTGGGACGAGTAAAGAATTAATAAATCACATCTCCTATTTTTTGGGGACAGTTTGGTTTGCTTGTCCCCCGTAAAACTTAAAATCTTATTTCCTGAGACAATATAACAAAGCCGTCCCCAATATTGGTGCCCAAAAATCTTCTTTTTTGTAGTGTTACTCCTCATCGTTAGAGATCACTGCACATTTTCTTTTTGATTTGTTTGCACTTCCACCATCATGTGCAATATCATCATCTGCACCAATATTAATGTCTTCATCTCCATTAGTGATATATATTAATCTCCATGCACTACAAAAAAAGACAGTTATTATTGACGACACGTTTTTCGTCACAATTAATAAATTTGCATCGGAAAAGATATTTTCCGACAACATACAATCGTCGGACGTAGTCAGAAATTGTCCCGTCGCTATTTAAACATTACTAACTAGTCGTCTAAAATGAAATATTATCGACGACATAGATTTGTTAGTAATAAAATAAGTGATGTCACAAACGAAATCACTCGTGACAGATGAATTTGACGATGTTCTTTTTACTGCAGATTTATTTAGTTTTGACGCTTTATCTTTGTAAGTAAACTATAAGTTCTGACTAGCCGTCATAAATACTATTTATGCTAATGTCCACAATTCGTCAAAAATAAATATTTGTTACGAAAATTGGTGGCCGAATTTTTTTTATACGTTGTACATATAATTGTCAGGTTGTTTGGGCGTCAATAATGTAGTATTTTTGACGAGTACTCAAATATATTAATTTTATTGATGCCAACAAGTTTTCGTAAACACAATGTTTTTGGCAACGTGTCATCGGAGAAATTATTATTTCTGAGGACAAATGTTCATCGTAGAAAAATAACTTTTCTAACGTGTCGTCGGAGAAATTATATTTACTGACGACAACTATTTATCTTGACTCCTTGAAACTAGCTATCAGAGTCTGCAGCTCTGATGCCAGATACTCTGAGAATGTAATCCAAGTCACATTGATGCTCCTATTGAATATAGTAGAAATCTCGCGGCATGCTTGAGTGGTGATTATCCTGCACAGGCCACATAAAGAATCAATGAAAAATGATTAAGTGACATACATATTTTGATTACAACCTAAATAAACAAGCAGTCAGTAGTAATGTCGTATAGGGTTTAGTGACAATTTTTCGTGAAATTCCAGGGCGAGGTTGTGCCCAGGTTTGAATCCCTTTCCCGGACCTCTTCCTTTTCTTTTTTTGGTCGTCCCTGTCACAAGTTAACAAAAGTCAGCTAATACTCATACATTGCAAATCAAACTAAAAAAAACAACCACAGAAGTAGGCTCACCATTCAAACTTGCACCCTCCCACGGAAGATCCGCAGCTGACTGATGAGTAGGGATGGCAATTACCCACCCATGGGTAATTTTACCCAAATCCAAATAGATCCATTTAGTATGGGTAGGGTTTGGATGAAGTGTATATGGGTTTGGGGGTTTGTAAATGGGTTTGGGTTAGGTATGTATATTGCTTTCATAATGTAAATGGGTATGGGTTGGATATGGATATCCATTTACTTGAGGGCGTTTTAACTACACACACAAAAATTGGACCTATTTGTAAAACTTGAAAAGTTTAGGTACCAAAATGTAAGACCAAAAAATTTTAGGTACCAAAACGTAATTTTCCATCGATATTTTGAGGACTTATATGCAAAAAAAATTAAATTTAGGTACTAAATCTTCATATCTATTAAGTTTAGGTACCAAACTGTAATTTTCCTTTGGGCATGAGTACAAATCCAAATCCATGTGTTAAAAACCCAACCCAACCCAAATAGATGGATATGGGTACAAATCCATCAAACTCTACCCATCTACCATTTATTTGGAATCCATACCCAACCCAATTGGGTTGGATAGTAAAATACCCATGGGTATGGGCAAAATTGCCATCCCTACTGATGAGCATTGGAATCAACCTACTCTGGTTCTTCTTCCAATCGAGGAACATGGGTCCTTTCCTTAGTTCTCTGAGTTTCAACAAGATTGGTGTTCCTGCTTTGTTGTCCTTCTTCCTAAATCTCTGAAATAAGAGGCGTAGAGTTTCTCTGCTTAGGGTTACGAGGTGTTTCTTTTTCCCTTTGGCTTTGAGAACGAAGGCGTTTCTTTTGTCTTGCCATCTAGTGAAAGCAGATTTCGTGCGTGGGGGGGGGGGGGGGAGGAGAATGGCAGAGAAGAAAACAATGGCAGAGAAGAAATGACTAGTCTTTTGGGTTCCTTTAATAATCAGCAGTTGTTGTGTAGTTATTGTGGTGGGAAAAGGGAAAAAATAACCCCGCCTTATTTTTAGGCAAACGAAGAGGCATCAGGATATTTATAATGAGGTTTTTGGTTCTTTTTTGAGTAAATCTCATTGAGGAAAAAATAATCCCGCTTATTATTTTTTTTGAATTAAGGATTAGTTCAGGGAATTGGGTAACGCTACGCAATTAATAGACATAATTAACCGCTTGCATATATGAATGGTTGATTTAGAAAACGCAGCAAGAATGAACCAGTGATGCATCAGAGGAAAAAATGTTCCACAAAAATTGCACCATAACATAGTAATTGACATTCAAGCACCAAATCAAAGTGAAGGACATTCAGCCTGTCGAACATAACATAGTAATTACCTGGAATTCCGATTCATACCCATTCTCAGAGAGTTCGAAGATGTTTTGTGGGTGCATGCATGTTTGATTTAGACCTGCAATTGGCGAAATCGAACATGCATAAATGGGGTAGGACCACACTGATTTGCCATCTATCAAGAAGTGATAGGACCACAACGCCCCAAGCGTGTTCTAGGGATGGGCCACGGGGTGAGCTCGGTTGATGTCTTTGATCGCCCATCGAGTCAAGGTGGAAGCAAGCGTTGTCAGAAGGATCGAACCAAAGAAAGGGGAAAAAAGATGAAACAATGAAGAAGTTGGAGAATGAGATCGTAGATGTGAGGAATGCAGTCCCTCACATCGTTGAATCTGTGTTGCAGAGACTTGGAGTGCGGTTGCTGACTCGTCCCGAACATCACAATTAATTCCCACCTAAGGTCGTAGTATAAACCTTAGTAGGGTGCAATATATGGCAAGTATGTTTATATATCAACCCGGGCCGGTCCATGTACCACTACTTCAATTGTTTGAAACATTATCTAGCGGATTGGGTTTGGTTGAAAAGTTTGAGAATTAAAGTAAAGCAAAGCAAAAGTGAATGGGTTTGAAAGCTCTATATGAGAAGGATCACTCGGGTGTCGCTTCCCCTTACTACTACCATGACACGTGGAATCGAATATACCATTATGGGCGAGGTGACCGCGATCCGCTAGGAAATGCAGTAGTGGTCGTAGACCACACTCTCGATTGCCAAACCAAGGGATGCATTATAAGCTACTCAAGTAGCCCTCTTGGTTAAGGAAATCGAGGGTTGACTTACTCTCTCACTCAACCCAATGGTTTGACGGCTTAATCGCACTTAACCTCGTAGTTTAATTCAAGATAGAGGGTTGTCGTGTATTAACTTGGCGTCAATAACCACTGAAAACGAACTGGACGCCTCGCCGTTCACGGTTTTTGCTTCTAGTTCACGATCTTAGCAGAAAGTGAACTCCAAGGGAAACCGTGAACTGGTCTTTTTCACCTCATTTCCTGGTTTTTGCTCCTTTTCTTCCAACTTTCAACTCCTGGGGATGGTTTCACCTGTTAGATCCTGAAACACGCTAAAACACAAGAAACCTAGCGTCAAACCACCCTTTTAGAAGCACAAATGCCACAAATGCCCAAGGAAAACGGGGATAAAATGCGTACAATTAGGCCCGAATCACTCCCCCACACATAGACCTTTGCTTGTCCCCATGCAAACCATTTCACACAAGGTAATATTTCAACCTACAAAAATACTTTGGGGACAACTCAAAGGGCACCAAGTGGGAATTCTCAATGGCTATTGGCAATTAACACATGAACCGTTGCAAGCAATACCGACATCCACCACAAACGACATTCAAGGCCAACAAAAACAGGAAAACAAAAAGTACTCACCTTGTTCATGGATCAATGTAAGTCTCAACAAGATCACTTACCAACCACAACTAACCATGCATTGAATTCAGGTCCAAGGAACAAATGAAAAGGGCAACAAAGGTCCTCACCGGAGTATGATATGACATGCAAAGCAAGAATGAATCACTCACTCTCAAGACCAGTAGGATCGGGACCTTTTTGGTGCAAAAGATGTGCACAATCATCAACACTCGGCCCTATCATCTCAATACCATGGCGGGAACCTATAAATGCTCGAGTTCACGGAATGGTTGTCATCACTAGCTTGTCCGGAGGTCTTAAACACTGGTTCAAATGACTGGAAATTGTCTTGGACATGGGAAAATGACTTTTCGGTGATGGCAAACACAACACGAGGCTCTACATCTTCAACCTAAACCCAAAGGTTCTATGGTTTCGACTAAGAACCTTCTCTACAAACAATGGCCACTAGCATCGGCCAAAAACCTTATTTAAGCACTCTTCCTTTGTCTCTTGCTATCACCTTTCGATTTGGTAGTGAAGGATTTCTAACACAATATGGGGGTCTCAATGGCTTGATTGCCAAGAAACCCTTCCTAGACCATACACTTTGGTTTT